TAAGAATCCCTTACAGATTATTCTAATTTGCTAAACTGAGGCATTCAGCTTTACTTTTCTGATCTAACTTTTTATGGTCTACATGGGTGGATTAAATCGGTACGTCCTAACAGATGAAATACATGCAGTTAGTAGCACAAGTCTCTGCAAGTAAATTGAGACTGATGTAGACAATTACACACTTGAGCTTAGAATGAAAGGTGTACTCAGTAAGTGAGCCAAAATATATCATCATTTGTGTCTTGGCTTTGTCATTTTAAAGAGCAGTTAGATGCTCTAAGAAAATGTCTTCCAGGAAAGGTAATATGTAATCCTTTTTTAATTTATAACTCTGAAACATTGAAAGATTCAGTGACTCAGATACTTCAGAGATAGCTAGCACATGAAAACTGAGCTGATCAGAGGAAAAAGCAACTAATTTTTTAGCTAACCTTTGTTTTTGGTTTGATTCTTTGTATCAACTGCTCTATGTACCGATAGCCACAACTTCCAACAACTCAGCCTCTTGGATGTCACTTGGGAGGCATGGAAAGAAGCAGCTTTTCGAGCCTTGTGTGCAAATATTTGACAGAAATTGAATGAAGAGCTATCCAAATAACCGTACTCCACAAACTATACAAAATAAACAAGAAAATACAGATTCAGCACTTATCTCCGACATCATGGAATATAATTCCTTCCCTGAAGCAGCTGGCAGATATGTACTGGCAGCTGCTGCGGGGACAGTGACTAGGAGATCTCTAAAATGTTTTTTAACCCCAAGCTATTACCTTGTGTAGATAGTGTATTAGTGATGCCTATAATAAAACACAGTGATTAACTGCATATATTATGAGCAGCAAAAGTTATTTGGTTACACTTTTATTGAATGCACAGGAAAATTTTGATATGTATGTGGGAAAAAAAAGAATCTTGAAAGATAGTCTTGATAGACTGCAGCTTCCACATCTACAAAATCTTCAGAGAGAGTAATGCAAGAAAACCATGTAGTTGCCTTGTTGAGAATCTGGTAAAGGTTTACTTCCTGGGCATTTAACCTGCAAAGGTTACTTGCATCTTTTGATTCTAGGTAGAAGCAGCCAAAAAAAACATATGCAGTTCCACTCATTCAACAGTCTTCAAAGCAACTGGTTTCATCATGACCTGACAGTTCCATCAGACAAGAGGCAACATGCTAACATTCCATCAGCCCCAGCTTTGAACCCTTCTAGGCCAAAACAGGCACTGCTGCACACAATAAAATATACGACTGAAAATCTGGCTGTTGATGGAGAACACATCTCTAAGACTTTTAGCTTCAACCTAGAGACTGCTTACTTAATCCAGGCCTCTGGATTCAGCTAGTAACAACCAGTATGAAGGAGAGTTGGGAACGATGGTATGCTACTTTTCACTGAATCCTAAACTCAGAAGCTTGAAAGTCTCCTACTTATTTACTCTACCTTTTCACAATTCTGATTTGCCTTGCTGCTGTTCATTATTCTTGCTTCCTATAACTCATCATTGGAAGAGAGTATTTTTCCCTGTGTGCCTGCATAGCAACACTACGCCAATTACAGCAACTAGAGAAAGGCAATCATTTAATCTAAACAAGGACCTGCACAAGGAAAAAGAACTAAAATTACTAAGAGTGTGAGTTGAATTCTGTGTAGCTAACTTTCTTTTTTACTGTCTTTTGATCACATCTTGCTTTGAGTGACTAGGCTGAGTGTGGCAGAGCAACCTTCGGAATGAAAGGAAAGAGCTCAGTACTCCCGCTTGCCTGCCCTGTTTACTGCAGAAACACCAGCTCCTGTTCCAAAAACAGTCTCTTGTTCTAGAGAGTCTTAGCAGTCCCACAGTTAGCTAATTATCACGCTTTAACAACATCACAGTATTTTCCCCTTGACACAGACCAATCTCTTCAAGTCCCATCCCTGAAAAGTTTTAATGTTAAGGAAACTCATTTTCAATCTTTAAAAGTATAGGACTTTATTCAGCGCCCAGCACAAGACTAAATGTTCGGAAGACTAAAGTAATCCTAAAGGATTTTCTCTGCTCTCTCTGGGGTAAAATGTACTATAATCTCACCCATTCATTTGCATTCAAAAGTAAAACTGACATGAAACAAGATATAAATGTAAGCAAATGACAGCATTTCTACAGCATTCTTAATATGTTTCTTAATTCACCACATTTTATTTTCTCATGGCGTTTCCCATAACGAAGATTACCTGGGGGTGTCAGCATAAAAACGTCAATGTGGACAGCTGCAGCTTAACAGCTACAATAACTGCAGCTATGAAATTTTTAAGAGATGTAGTGTTTTGGTGGCAATTACAGTTATTGATATTTCTAAAATTCATTTAGGCTTTTATTGTAACTTTAGTAACCAAAAGAAATGTAGTCTATGATATGACTTTGCTAAGGATAAATTGTCACAATCTTAACGTTATTAAAAAACGCATTCGAATGAATTTAAACTGCGAGTCATATTAAAACTTTCAATCAAAATAAATTACTCTTGATGAAAACACTGAATTAAAAATGATTTAATATTGGTCTAACCTAAATGTGAGGAGAACAGTTTTATTCAGTAAAATAGTAAATATTTTACCAATTAATAGTATTAATTTTTATTAATACAACCAATAAAAAAAATTCTTTTTAAACCTATGGACCTCATTCAAATTAACCTCTTGCCCAAATCTCTTATTCAAGAGCAATAAACTCTGCTCTAACTTTGAAAAGCAGCATCCTGGAATTGCAAGCCTATTGCCTAAATCAGCTCAGATCTGCCTGGGTAATCTGAGATCTGAAAGCAAAGTTAGGCTCTTTCTACCTGCGGTTTCATTACCAGCAATAACAATTCTACAACTGGAATGCAAGTACTTCTGCTTTCAGGAGAAACCTCTTCTTCCACAGCAGTTCAGGCTCTCACCATGGGAAAAGATGAGTGTTAATACCTTTTCTTCTTGATTCCTTCTCTTATACCACTTCATTTAAATTCACAAGCTTTTATATTTCTGTAGAAACCTAATTTGATTCTCCCAAGCATTAACCAGGTCCCTGTGCTATGGCCTTGTCACTACATCAACCAGCCCTTCACTAACAGCCCTAATGTCTATTGCTCCTTTCACGCTAGAGCAGTGGTTTTCAAGTTGGAACCCATGAATTTCTGGAGGACTGTAAACTAGCTGAAGGACACTCACAAAAGATAATTACAATAATCTTCAGCTTGCTTACTTTTATGAGGTTCAACCCTTACACTAGAAAAGAGACAAGATGCTACTGGTTAGAGAACAATTAAACAAACAAAACAACCATTTTAGTGAACTTGATCTCTTGGTTCCCACTGTGGCCAGAAGTATCGCTCAACTTTAGTGGCATGTCTAATTAGCAATGTAACAGGAGAACAAATTAGATGTCATTTCCTTGCCCCTTAGAATGTTTTCTAGGCAGTTGTGAAAATGGAAACATCGCACAGTCTTCTTGTTAGGAGCTCAACAGCTATACTATCAGTAAAGAAAAGATCGCAACAGCACGCTGTGGCTAGATAGATACCATCAATACCCAGGTTATACAGCTTTCACAAATCACTGATTAGCACCAAGTCTTTCAGCTGCCATTTTTAAAAGTAACTTGTGTTCCTGACAGCTTAGTTCTATTTTCCCACCTAACTACATTAGCTTATTAAATAAGAGATGCTGTCTCTTCTCAGAGATCTTACTAAGTTTACAACCTGAGGTCACAATAGTAGCAAAAGACACTATCACCATCACCACTACCTCTGTGAATAAGGACATTTTTACCATCACTCATCAAAAACAAGAGAGAAAAAACACTGTCAAACAGGATAGATCTTTTTAGGCTTGAATAATAGCAACATAAATGTCCAGTCCTCACTACTTATATCATCCACCGTAATTTATGCAAGAGATGTTATGTGCTAATAATCAAATAAAATAGACTAAGTCCTTTCCAGTATAAGTTTTTGGAAATTTAAGTCTGAAATCCATTTTATATTGATTGCCAAGTAAACATGTTAGCCAGACACACTGTCAGTACTTAAGAAATTCATTCTGTGCCTGAAGAGAAAGCTATGAGTTTTGTGGGAGGATACACTCTCCTTACAAAACAAAGTAGCTGAAAAAATGCTCCGATTAATTCATCTATGAAAGTACAGCTAGCTCTGCATAACAACACTGATAACAGTATGTGATCACTTTCACTATATACGAAACTTTCACTATATACGAAAAAAGTAAAAAAGATTTCTACCCAATACTGAGCGTAGTGATGAGCATAGATACGCAATTAAGCAATATTTGATGAAAAAGTACATATATTTGACATGCTACCCTCCCTGTCCTTACACAAAAGGAAATAAATGTTTATTTCCTAGCATCTTCTAAGACAAGTTCTGCTACAGACAATAACTTCCTGTCGCCTCAGATTTCAATAAACAGATTCCTCAAAAATAGTATATAACTACCATTTGTTCAAGTTATTTCTTATTGATTAGCACAGCTAACTAATTAAAGCAGAAAACTAAGAATCCCATGTCAACCTAAACCAGATTTCTCTCACGTTGTGTCAAAGTGCCCTCCCCAAAGAGTCACAGTCTGTCCGTCCTGTAATTTTACCTACCAAATAGAAAACGTGACATATATGACCTTTCAAAAATGCGTATGATTTGCAGACAAAAGCCCTACTTAAGTAAACAGTAATTCAGCCAATATGTTGTTTTATATACTCTACTCTAGGCATATTGACAATTTTACAAACAACAAACACAGATAGAGAAAAAGCATATTATTGGAGGACACCATAACAAACAAAAAATGAAACAGAAAAGTCCTTATAACTAAGGGGTATGTCTGATTCCTATCAGAGGGCTGTGAGCATTTCGACTACCTCATTTCCCTTTATTTCACTTCCTAGCAGTGTACCAGAGACATTAACAAATGATGTCGCGTATGTAAAGGCAAAGTAACTAATAAAAACTTCTTAGGACTAACCTTAGTCTCTGTTTATAATAGTCTTCATCTCCATCATCTCTCCATCTCTTTATTTTGCGCTTCCCTACTGTATGCTCTTCTTCCTCCTCAGAGCTTGGAAAGTAGTCAGCATCATCTTCAGCTTCTTTAAAATCTCTCTTCACCAAATATTTTCCTTTTCCTGACAAAGTCCTAAGTTCAGAATCAAAATCATTCTCAGCATGAGAAGATGCCTGCTGTTTCTCCTCTTCCGCTGCTTCTGGATCAAAGAGCTCCTCATCAGGTACATACTCAGACTCTCCGCTGTCATCATTGTGTTCACGCCTCAGCTTCTGCTTGGCCTCAAGGTATTTCTTTTCTTTTGGAATCCCTGCCTTAGACTGAATCTGAAGGGCATGCTTCTGAAGTTTGTTCATGCGGTTTTTTAAGCGCTTATTTGTTTTTGATAGAGTTCTGGCTTTACTCCTTTCTTCCTTTGTGATGGATATGGCAGTTGTATGCTGAACATTTTTGGCTTGTGTCTTCCTCTTTGCTCCTTTCAGAAGTGATAATTTCTTCCTTTCAGATGACAGCTTAGCCTGATCTGCTAAATACTTCTCAAAATCAGATGTTTCATTTAGCATTAACTGCCGAGGCTTCCTCTTTGGCTTCTGAGGTATTTTAGTTCCAAAAGGAGTCATCTGGCCAGTACGAATGAGCTCTTCCCACTCTGTTTCCTGAACTGGCATAAGCATACTGCCAAGATGCAGTGGACCTGATGATGGCCCAGGTTCTGTAAGAAAAATTGGAACATTCAGCATCCCATTAACATTTTCTGAATAACTCAAACACAGCAACAAGCTTGTTTTCGAGCTTTAAATGCATGCAGTTCAGTTTTTATACACAATATAAAAGCAGTTCAGTTTTTACATACAATATAAAATTCCAAATTAACATCACACAAAACACAAGAAAAGAAAATCACAAAGAGGGAAAAACAACAAAACAGAGGGCTGAAATAGATTGTAACTTTTAAAACTTCAAACTACTTCTCAAACTTAACATAAGAAACATTACACTCATTAACAAAACGCAAATGCTTCTGAAACAATACATACCAGCAAGAACTATCATGAAATAATAACCCTCAATGCCACATGTACTCGTCTAATGCACTCCTTAAGCTTTCAGTTCAACCCATGCCATGATGTTCAGTGAAAGAAACCACTGAGTTCCTATATGCAGTAGTAACACTATTCGTTTCGACTTTTATTATTGAGTTTTCAGTCTTGTAAGCTTGAAATTTGGCATTTCCATTTACCACACCAGGACATGGACACAAACCTTAAGACACACATAAAAGACTGTCTTACCAGACACTTCAGGAAAAACAAAATATCCCCAAAAAGCAAATAGAAGAAAAAAACCCCAACCCTCCCCTCAAAGCACACATAACCAAAACCAAACCTACCTTCCTACTCTACAACACTAGTTATTTATATTATGAGTTTAAAAGCCAGATTGGCTGCACAGCACATTGCCATACAAGAGCATTCCGGTCAAATTGCATGCAATCATTAAATGTATAAATACATACTTAATACAAAATATAATTAGTGAAACCAGAGAGGGGGGAAAGTTCTGGAATGCTGGGTGTAGAAGGGACGTTCCAGCTATGAAATCTATAATTAGGGTCCAAAACTTCAAAATAGCTATGGCATACTACTGTATATGGTCCCATTTCATACACTGTATTTATCACTTAAATAAGTTTAATCACTAATGATGCTGCATCAGACATGAAACTCCTCCCTGCCTACCCCTCATCCTCCTCTCCCCCCTCAAATTCTCAAATCACTGGAATTACTAAACTCAATTTTTTATGTCTGGGACTCCATTCATATCTTAGCTACATTTCATCATACCAGGTGTCTGAGTTTTACTGCATGAACCTGTGCAAAAACAAAAAACCTCAAGATGCTTTTCTACCAAGAAAAGTTTACAGGAGTTTTGATCCTCATAAGTTTTGTTGAGCTAGGAGAGAAACAAGAGCTCTGTGAGCTCTGGAATCCACTCCAGTCACACGTCTGGAACTACTAACGGCACGCTGAGGTTACACCTCTGCAGACAACACTGCCTATGGGGGAGGCACAGATGTCAATGGGGTCCAAACTTGGTCCTCTGAATACTGCAGATCAGTGATGGTGGGCAAGATATGGTCAAGCTGGAGTTACAAAACCCAAGCTGAATTTACAGATGTCAGCAAAAAAAGAACACATACTGAAGTACATTTGAGCAGGAAACATTGAGACAACAAATAACCTACTCATTCAAAAAAAAAAAAAAAGGCAGCCTGACAAAGAAAAGCACTTCCCCTCTCCATTTCTAGTGATATTTCCCAACAATAAGAAAAACCAATTTTGTTAAAGCTGATTGATAGCATTCAGCATATGAAATGTAATTCAGTCATGATGTTAGTCATCTTTATCAAATTAGCTGTGAAAAAATGTTAAGATTTCCAATTTATTAAGCCCAATACTCTAATGTGCATCAGCCATCCCTGCTGAGCTGAACATGGATTAACTTCCATTTTTTAAAACTTCCCATGTGAATATGACATGATCTGCAATTTCGCAGGTGCAGAGAATTAAGTGTTCTTAAATCCCTCTTTGAAAACAAACCACTGAAATTTATTTCCTATTGGCAAAGATCTTTCCAATTAGCTTCCAACTACAAAAGGTATTACATCAAAGTAGGACAGAAGACACTGATTCAGCTTTTCTCCATACCTTCACCATCCTCGATTTCAACATCATTAATTTCATCAGGAATCCCTGTTCCACCAAGAATTGCTTGGAGTCGCTTTTGCTTTGCTTTGATCTTCTTTAACTGTTGCTCCTTGAATGACAAGGGGGTACATCATTTATTTTTTAATCTGATTTATAAACTTGCTATCCTTTTAAACAATTATCAAGTTATTATGTTTGCAGTATTTTCCACCAGAAAGTCAAATTCAAATGTTGACAGTACCCTTTTTGGGGAAAAAAAAAAAAATCATGAAAAAGGGTCACCACAGTACTTATAAGGCACTGTCCCACAGAATGCACAAATTTGATGTGTATGACCATCCTTAGATATGCACTCAGTAAGGTCAGGTTGCTCATAAACACAAATTTGAATTTCACACGCACATTAGGCGTTTTGATGTCCATCTTGTGAGGTGTGGATTCCAGTGAAGGAAGCCCATTAAGTGGGCTATCGAGACACACAGAGAATACCAAAAAATTTGTTCTTAATTTGCAGGACTTGGTTAACATTTAATGAGTTACTAAAACCAGCTATGAAATCTAGTAAGATTTACTATCGTAAAAGTTTTGAAATGCTTTGTTAGAAAGAAACTGATACTATAAATCAGTCGTCCTAATAAATGCTTGTTAATTTCGGAGCAGTCCCAGTTAATTTAATTGCAAAAGCTACAAAGTGAAATGCTTCTGAAAAATAAAAGTGAAAACAATTCAACATTACAGGTGTTGTAACAAGCATAGTTCATTACTGCTATGGAAATGAATTCCACTTAGCATTTCTGCTACACCTTTTATCCAACTCTAACGTCCTCAACTGTATGCCTACCAGCAACGTCGGGATTCTTTGGTGGTGTTCCAAATATTTCCTTACCCATAGAGGTTAAAGACCAAGTTTACGGTAAAATGAACTTTTTTGGGGGAAGAAAGATTTACTAGCCTGCCCATGCCTTCAAAACACTTTTCAAACTACAAAGGGTAAGTGTACTTGTGTATGGTACAATATACATCTCCTGTGCATGCACTATTATCCTTACTACCACAGTATCTATGTTATAAAACACTTTCTGTATGACACGACAGCTCTAAGGAAATAGCTGTATTGTTAGAGTCATTAATTTCCTTTTTGTCTGAATAACAGAAGATTTCAGCCTTCTTTCACTGTTTTTTTTTAAATATTGCAAAAGGAAGAGTCTGTAAAGGAACTTTTGCCTGCAAAAAGTAGCCCAAGAAACCAGCTTCAAATACAGCATCTGACTCTAAACACACTATACAATGTAACTAGGCTCTTGAGGTTATCGGGACCGCTCTTATAAATTACAGGTTCTATATACAGATAAACGTTTACACCTAAGGACTGTTAGAGATGGCTAACAATGGACTCCCAGTCAGGTCTGAATTTCATCTGCAACTAAAACCTGAGTAGGTTACCTCAAGTAACATGAACACAAAATATAAAAGGTCCAATTCAATGATCACTCTTCAGTGGTAAGTCTGGTTTAATGTGTCTTTATCCACTGTTTCCAGCTACTTGTTCCCAGTACCATGCTGCAGCTCTGTACCTTCTCCCTCATTCTCTTAATTGGCCAAATTAGAAGCAAAAAGTTTTTCGAGTTGCTGAAATGATCAAAATTTAAAAGAGAAAAAAGAATGAATGGGTCAGTGGCAAACGGCCTAAGACTGGGAAGAAAAGGCTGGAAGCAAAGGACAGTAACTTCCAATCAGGTTGATCATTAGAGAAAATATTAGGGTGCATTTCCTTGAAACAATGAGCTAGTCTAAGAGCTCCATTCCCGACAACAAGAAGTTTCCCTTTCCTCAAATCTCCATTTTCCTCTTCACAGCTGTGCATGTCCATTGCTTACCTTACACGATGCCTACTAGATTCCTCTACAAGACCCTTTAACTTACTGTTTTGATAGAAAAAAGATGGAGAAGTTTCTGCGAAATCAGTGAGTTTAAACGGCTCACAGAAGGGAATGACGAACACTTGTTCAAGAAGGATTCAGCAACGACAGAGGAAGGTGGGGACTAAGACTATGACAGCTGAGACTTAGATGAACAATATATTAAATCATGCCCTAACAATGCTTTGCTAACACTCCAAATACTATCAGGAGCAATTTATTTAAATTAATGCAAAGCAGTTTTCCAAGCAGGTCCTGGAATTTCAGTTGTAGAGCATGTTCTGAAGCTCAGAGTAAAACAAACAAACATAGCCAGCCCTCCCCTCCACCTCACATCTTTAAATTAGCTATTAACCTTTTTGGTAGAAAATGGAACTATTTAAAAAGAGAAAGAACAGCAAGTTTAGACTGACTCTGAAGTAGATTATTAAGCACGAACTAGGTCACATAATCCAAATCTTAAACCAAAGTACAAGTTAAGCAATGTCAGCAGGA